TTTTTAAGGCTCATCCACGTTATAGCCTATTATCTATATATTTTTTTTTAATAGCCAAATAATATTCCATTTTGGGCTTCTCATGTGGCGTTAGTGGTAAAGAATTTGCCTGGCAACGCAGGAGATACAACATATTAGGGTTTGATTCCTGGATCGGGAAGGTTTCCTGGAGTAGGAAATGACAACCCACTCCAGTATTCTTGCCTGGAGAACCCCACGGGCAGAGGAGCCTGGCGGGCTACAGTCCATGCGGCTGCAAGGAGTTGGACATGACTGAGAGACTGAGGACGTACACACCATATTTCACTGTATGGCTATACCACTTTTATTGGCTTACTTTTACACTTTGGCTATTATAAATAATGTTGACAGAAACTTCTGCATACAAGTTGCTGTGTGAATATATTTTGTCTATTTCTCATGGATATATACCAAGGAATGGAAGTGCTGAGTTACATGTTTAACTTTTTTGAGACACTGCCAGACTGTTTTCCAAAGTGGCTGCACCATTTTATATTCCCAGCAGCAATACACCAAGGCTCTGTGTGTGTGTGTTAGTTGCTTAGTCGCGTCCGACTCTTTGCAATACCATAGACTGCAGCCCACCAGACCCCTCCGTCCATGGGATTCTCCATGCAAGAACACTGGAGTGGGTTGCCATTTCCTTCTCCAAAAGGAACTATAGAAAGGAAGTGAAGTCACTCAGTCATGTCCGACTCTTTGTGACCCCATGGACTGTAGCCTACTAGGCTCCTCCATCCATGGAATTTTCCAGGCAAGAGTACTGGAGTGGGTTTCCATTTCCTTCTCCACAGCAAGGCTTTAATCTCTCCAAATTCTTGCCAGCATATTTTGTGATCTTTCTGTTTCCAGTCATCTTAGCAGGTATGAGGTAGTATCTCACTGTGGTTTGATAACTAATGATGGTGAGCATCTCTCCATGTACCTATTGGCCACTGGTATACCCTCTTTGGAGAAATGTTTATTCAAATCCTTTACCTATTTTTTAACTGGGTTATTTGCTTTTTTATTACTGAGTTGCAAGACTGCTTTATATATTCTGAACACATGCGTTTTATCAGACATATGCTGTGCACATACTTTGTCTGAGTCCTGTCTTTTCACTTTCTTGATGATATTGTTTGCATAGTTTAAAATTTTTTAATGATTTAAACTCACTACTATTACTACTTTCTCCCACTACCTTTAGGCTAAATCATTCTTCACTGGACTTGGAGAAATGTTCATCTACATTTCTGCCTCTCATTTCACTTGGAGCTCTAAAACTTAACTGGAATTATAAATAAAAATATTTACTGCATCAGGCAAACACAAACTAATTAGAATGAGGCAAATACTAATTAGGTCTGGGTGCAAAGCCTTTACCACTAGATCCTCTATCATCTTCCATAAGTTGGTACTTCACTTCCCTTGCCTGGAGCCTATAATGATAGAAAAAGAGTAGGCCGGTGGGTCCACCACAGACCTGTGCCAATTGGCAGGACTATGTCCTGTGCTTATAAAGACTATACAAAGAGCTCATATCCAAAACTGAATGTATGTTTTTGTCTTCATCCTCAGTCTTTCCATGGTAAGGAACAAAGTTCCTCTCTCTAGCTGGGGAAAAGGAGAAAATTCCTCTAATTATAGCAGGAATGGGATGTAGAGGAAGGGCAACCAGCAAGAATTCCACCAGAGAGAACAGAGTTTAAGACTAACAAACTTGGGTTTCAGGATGACCTTTGCTGCCTCCTAGAGTCATCCTATTCTCTGGAAAGGAATTTCCTCTCCTATAACTAGAGTCACTCTCACAAACGGTTGTAGTAAAAATGGAGAGGACCAAGAGCTGAACAGACAGCTCCTCCGCCCACCCATGCACGCACCTAACAAATAATGCTTTTAATGTGCCAGACACTTTTAGATGCTGGGAAAACAGACAAGAGTCCCTGTGCTCATGGGCTTTACATCCTATTGAAAGCAGGCAGACAAAAACCAAAATTAGCACATAGTTTATTAGATGGAAGCAAATGCTATGAAGAAAAGCAAGCAAGAAAAGGGGGAGGATGATAGAGTGGGCCAATGGTTGGGGGGAGTCCGTACTGAGAAGCTTATACTTGAACAAAGGCCTGAAGATGATGGATCCAGCCATCACAGGGGGTCACCTTCACAGGAGGAAGAAGCAGGGAGTGCAAAGGTCCTGAGATAGATGTGTGCCTATGGCACTCTGGAAAGAGCTAGGAGGCCAGGGTGAGTACAGAGGTAAGTTCAGAGAAATACCAGAGGCCAGAATGACCTTTCCAGGCCATTTTAAGGACTTGGCTCTTACTCCAAGTGAGCTAGGAAGCTATTAGAACTTAGCACAACAAAAGATAGCATAATTACTGAAATTTTTCAACCCTAGACTCAAATAGATCAAATGTTAGTAATGGGTATAAATTTACTCATGCAGTTCTCTGAAAACTCCACAATTCACTTCTAAAAAAATCAATTCTATTGCTTTTGAATGAAATAGTATCAATTTATGGCTAGTGATGATACAGTTGAAATTTCAGGAGCAGCATACTGTTGTAGCTCAGGAGTTTATTCATCCAGTCAGTCATGAGAGTTGAGGATAAAAGAAAGGCTAGTGGAGAGAGACAAAAATCCAAATAAGCACAATAAGTAATCGAGGAACCATGATACAACTGTACTAGTTGCGGAAAGATCTCAGAAATGAGGGAGGTTGAGCTGCGCTTTCACTGTAAGAGATGCTCTCCAAGTGCCTCCGGGGGGGGGCGGTAGGGTGAAAGCAGGGAAGTAGATCTCTCTGGCAGAGAGGATAATGCATGTGGAGGAAACAGCTTGAAGAAAGGCACAGATGATGAAACCTGATGGCAGTTTATGGAATGTGCAAGTGGTTTAGTAGGGCGAAAGAAGGGATGATGTTATACCTAAAATCAGCACTGGCCTGATCATGGGTAAACCTGTAGACTAAGCTAAGAAAGTATCATTTACCTAAGGGAAATGGAAAGCCTTTGGGGAATTTTAAGGGGAATAGGGGCATGATCACATTTGCACTTTGGAAGAATAATTTTAACAGCAAGGTAGAGGATGCACTGGAGTGGTGTAAGGGCAGGGAGACAAAAGAAAAAGACAATTCAAACAAGAGATACGGTCTGATTAAAAGGAGGGTAGAGAACAAAGAAATATATAGATGACACACAATAAGATCCCAATAAGCAAATGAGATATCAAGAGAAATGGGTCTAGAATTACAGCCCTGTCACAAAATAGTGAACATTTTCCACTAGATTAAGGTATACCATTTTGGAGGGGCAAGTTCTCCCTCCCTGTAGGGATAGCTGTAGTTTTTGGTATATGAGTTTAAGATCTCAGTGTGAAATTCAAATAGAGATGTCCAACTGCAGCTGAAAAAAACAAGTCTGAGAAAACAGGGAAAGAAATTTGGGTTGGAGATTTAAATTTGAGAGTACAGATCATGAAAGTGGTGAAATTGTCTAGGGAGGACATTTTGGAAAAGAAAAGCTATTTGAATAGAATAGAATCTCAAGGAACAGCAAAATTTAAGGAAAAGAGGAATCAGCTAAACAGACTGAGATGAATTCGAGACTGAGATGAATTGCACTGAATGCAAGGACCTTGTCCACCAGTGCGTCAGGAATGCGGCTCAGACGGTAAAGAATCTACCTGCAATGTAAGAGACCTGGGTTCGATCCCTAGATCGAGAAGATCCTCAGGCGAAGGGAATGGCAACCCACTCCAGTATTCTTGCCTGGAGAATTCCATGGGCAGAGGAGACCGGCGGGCTACAGTTCACATGGTGGCAATGAGTTGAACAGGAATGAGAGACTAACATTTTCACTTTTCATGAACACCTAGCTTAGTGCCTGGGAAAGAGTGGATGATCAATAAATGTTAGTGGGTTGATAAACTGAGTCAGGAAGGAAACAATACATGTCACAGAAATAGAAGAACCTGAAAACAATAAAGTTCTGTCAAATGCTACGGTGACGAAAATGAGGACTTAAGAGGGTCTTTTTGATTTAGTATTAGTAACTAGGCAGAGAATATAGCCGGTCCAACCAAGAAGTTCTCCCATGAATTGAGTCTTGAGGCATAATCATCTTACAGACAAGAGGAGACTCATCGTGCGCTTAATAAACTACGTCAGAGACATTACAGTAACTCCACAAACCAGGCTGATTTAACGAGGAGACTGGCGGACGATAACGCTTCCACCTAGGAACCCCCACCTACCCAAATGCAAACCAGTCACACTGGCCTCTAGGCAGTGCTCACTAGTCCCAGACGTTCCCCGAACTATAGGTCCCAGCAGGCCATGCGCTACACAGCAATGGACTCTGAGGAGAAAGCGGGTGCAAGACCTGCTGGGAACAGTAGTTTACGGCCCCGACCCCAAGAGGCTCTTGCATGCTTCCCACCAACTCCTTACTTGAGTTCTTCGGCCGAATACATCCCGAAGGAAATGCCCTGCAGCCGCCGCCAGGGCATGTTCTTTGAGCCCAACATCCTCCAGTTCAGTTCCGAGCTCCTACACCCAGAGAGACGGCCCAGTCACCACTGTTGTACTTTTCACACCACCTCCGGTCTGCACCATGTGACTTTAAACTGCGCTTGCGCGCGAGAAAGGCTCGCCTTAAGGAGATTTACAGGGACAATATAATTTCCGCTCGGGGCGGGGGGGGGGGTGGTAGAAAATAATTTCACGACTCTCGCGCGCCCCTGTATTTGGAAAATAATCGAACATATATACGAAATTTAAATAATCTTTTAGGAAAGAATTTCGAGGGAAATGAGGCCTACTGAGCCTTTAACTTCTGAAGCAAAGTCTTTCACACCATGAGCTTGTAACCTATTTTATGATTGATTTCTTCTTGTTCCGTCTCAGCCAATAGCCGAGCTATTCCCCGCCCACCTGCCACCTCCCGCCTTAAGGTGGAGGGCGTGCTTTCCCAGCATACTGTGCGAAGACGCCAAATATGGCGTCCTTGGCGTCAGCGAGGTGGCTGAGGGTCAGCTGTGGGCTTTGCGTACCGCTGACGGCTCGGTGGACAGGTCCCTGTGGACGGAGCCCTAGTAGCAGGTAAGGGAAGCTTGGAGGACGCATGAGAAAGAATCGGGATCACCTTGGTTCTTTGTATCCCCTTTCCCCCTTAGTGCTGGAGAACTAAATGCGGTGGAGTGGAATGCGCGCGCTCGTGGCAGCGCGACCCGGCAAGCCAGCACGCGGTGCGGCATGTTTTTGCGCAAGGGCTCTAAACGCGCTTTTTTGGGATGGAGATTTCTTACTTGGCTGGTCTACGCCGGGGTTTAAACTCTCGGGGAGATTAGGATTCTTCTGTTGGGGATCCTGCATTCTAATAAGTGTGGCTATTAATCATCCCGTTCCACATATTTTTTAAAAAAGGAAAACGTTATCCGCCCTTACTCGTTTTCTCCCACACGGGAGGAACGGGGGAATATCAGGTTTTCCCAAATTAAAGGCAGTTTACGAGTTCTCCTGGATGTTTTGGGGATGTTTGACGGAAGAACTTTCCCAAGTGTTCTTAAAAACAGGAAAGCCCAAAAGATGTGAACACAATCTGAATGAAATCGCTGTGATTGTTAAAACTTGGCACATGTATCATTTGTGTGTGTGTGTGTGTGTTTTTCTTTTCAGTACAAGCAATAGCGTTGTGGAAGTATGAAAGCCAGCAATTGCTTGTGAAAGTTGGAAATAACCTAATTTTAGATTGGATGTTTGCGTTTCCTTTGCGAGGTGATAGTAGACAAATTCCTTATGTGTAGACTGGAGCTAGTAGCAGCCATGGAAAAACAGTGAGGAATAAGTGAGTTGTGTAATTTACAGTATACATTTTATATTAAGGCCTTCCCTCAACTCGGCTCACAAAAGAGAAAACGCTCCACCAGGTAGTGCAGAGAAGGGTTGATTTAAGAGGACACTGGAGACCAAAACCAGGAAAGGAAGTAATTTTCTATCTTAATCACATCTTGACAGTTTTCTAAAGGGTATCAGTGCTGTTTAGGAGGAAGATACTTACAAGATATATGTGATCTGTGTGGTATGTTGACCTTATTTTTTTAACGTGATAACATTTAAAAACTCATTCAGGGGTCAGTGGTTCTATATTCTGGGTTAAAAAAAGAATAACAGTTCCAAGTTTATATTAGGATACAGGTGTTTGGTACATTCGTGAGTGTTGAAGGAAGTGGAATGAAAAACCATGGTGATCTTACTTTCATAATTTGCTTTAAATGGCTTTGTCTTTTATTATCATTAGATCATTATGATCATTAGATCATCATCCATGTATAATCAGGAGCCCATTGAATCATTTCTTTTAGCCCCAGTGTTTTAGGTCTTCAGAGTTGAAAGTCCTTCATATTTCAGGTCAGCTGTTAAAATGATGTTCAAGTACTACTAAATTTTTCTTTTTTTTCCTATGATTTTATTTAATGAGACTGCCTGATTTTAAAAATTGTTGGCCCTATTATATCTGTATTTTGTACTTATTTTGTAATGGTTTTGAACTTGCTATTGAGGCCATGTCTTCCCAGCATACTTTGACATGAATTATCCAATCAGTTTGATCCGTGGTAATTGGAAAATTTTGGCTCAGTTGCACAGAGTTGGGGGTGAGCTGAAAAGTTCATTAATGAGTATTAGCTTTAGAGCTTTTATTTATTTATTTATTACAGATTTTATTCTGGAAGTGCAGCTGTCCCAAAGGTTGAAGGAGCTGATATAGCAGGTATATAAAAATGTATTGAAATGACTCCATTTTTATGTTAATGCATTATACTTCTTTATAGTAGTAGTATTGGAAACTGATTTGCTTTTGTTTTATTTTTTGCATTAAGGGACTGAAGAAGTAGTCATTCCAAAAAAGAAAACTTGGTGAGTATTCAGCGTTCATTCAAAAAGTGGTTCAGTGCTTATGAGAAACGTTGTTAGCTAAGAAGCCAGTGACAGGAATAGCAATTGGAGGTAGAGAGTAGTGAGTGAGTGGGGAGTGAGATTTACTTAAGAGTTAAAAAGACCTATCTGAACTAAGTTTGGGTTAATATTTACGTAGTGATGGTCAGTCATGAGTATCATTATTAGAATAATTTCTGTTTTTCTTTCTTAAGGAGGTTTCACATTGTTAGGAGACCCAAAAAAGAATTATCTTTATGATCTTTAGTAGGTAAATGGTGCAGACTGCAAAATTTAGCTTTTTTAACCCACTTGATAGATCCTTAAACAAATTGCTTTATACATAGTCAACATTTGTTGAATACGTAAGAATTAAAACTTACAAAAATTCATATAGTAATGATATTACTGAATGCATTGAAAGATCCTTCAAAAAAACTAGGTCTTTTTTGAGTATGACTTGAAGATTCAGACTCATCAAAAAAAAAAAGCTCTCTTAAATTAATGATCATTGCCAAAAGGGGAGTGGGATAAATTGAACATGCAAAAAGGAAATAAAATTACCACCAATCACTGTATTCAAAGGCAAGTTACTTAATCTGTCTTTGCTATAGTAGAATGTGGGTGGTATACTACCTGCCTCAGAGGATTACATGAGCATTTCAGCAGTTACTACCACATAATCAGATCTCAGTAGATGGCAGCTATTATTTTAAAGTTCTGCTGTATAACTTTTTATATATAAATTGTATGTGGACATTTAGTTTAGAAGTGATTTATTAGATGTACTGTTCTGTACTCTGATTTTAATTTTGAATGATTACGTAGTATTTTATTGTATGGATATATTCAGATTCATTTTTACCTTCCCTAGTGGCTCAGTGGTAAAGAATCTGCCTGCCAATGCAGGAGATGTGGGTTCACTCCCTAGGTCGGGAAGATCCCCTCAAGAAGGAAACGGCAACCCACTCCAGTATTCTTGCCTGGGAAATCCCATAGACAGAGGAGCCTGGCGGGCTACAGTCCATGGGGTAGCAGAGAGTCTGATATGACCCAGTGACTAAAACACAGGCCAGAGAATCAGAGCCGAGATCAGAATAGGAGTATACATAAGCTTGAATGAGGCATTTCTTGAATGGCATTCCTGTCCAGCGCGCTTTACCAACTCATTGTGCCTCTTTGCCTTCTGACAAAGGTCCCACGGGGAATACAAGAGAGGAAGTGTATTGGGGGTGTGTTCAGATGGCCTACAGTCTAGTTAGAGTGCATATTTTGTACTTTATTGCTTCCCTGGTGGCTCAACTGGTAAAAAATCCACCTGCAGTGCAGGAGACCTGGGTTCAGTCTCTGGATTGAGAAGATCCCCTGCGGATGGGGAAGGCTACCCACTCCAGTATTCTGGCCTGGAGAATTCCCACCTAAAGAGTCGGACACAACTGAGTGACTTTGACTTTTCTTTGTTGAAAACGCTGTTTAACTGTACCTTAAAATGGGTCAGATGATTTTATTGGCATCAGAATCACGTGGGAATTTTGTTTAAAATACATGTTCCTGCAGGTAATTCTTCTGTATAAGCCCCACAAATCTGAAAAACAGTAAGGCAGGGTGGGGTGTGATCATGACCTAACTGGTGGTGGGAGACCATGCAGGCCAGCCTCTAAAAAATGCTCTTAGAATAGGAGAAATAGGGTAGTTGATATAGAGCCTTGGTTAACAGATTGAGGCCTGTCAGCCTCTAAAAAATGCTCTTAGAATAGGAGAAATAGGGTAGTTGATATAGAGCCTTGGTTAACAGATTGAGGCCTGTTTGTTTATAGCCCATTAAGTAAAGGTTTAAAAGAAGACTTATTTCATAACACAAATTTCGGTGTCAGTTAAATTTTTTTTTCCTTTTTAGAACACAACCTCAGTCACTTAACAACTTACCATCTGTGGCTACTTTTATGCTCCAGAGGCAGAGCAGAGTAGTTGTAACAGAATCCTTACGGCCCATAAGACCCAAAATATTCACTGTCTGTCCCCTTAGAGACAAAGTGATTGATAGAGGATCTCTAATAGAGAGCTTCTGCTTTCCAGGCTCAGGAATTTGTGCTTTTAGATAGAAAAGAAACTATAAAGACTGTAAGTTCCTCTTGCCTTATTTGAAAGGTGAAGCATCTTTTAAGGCTGTGAGTTCCCAGATCACAAGTGTTGTAGAAGATTTTAACAAATTGTAGAGGGTTATTCTGAGTTTTCACATACAACTGTGACAGGATAGAGTATTTTGAGCACGTTAATCAGTATTGTGTAGTTACTTTAGGGGGGGCATGGAGCCCAATTGTGATCAGTGCATAGGTGACTGGACTCATGAAAGAAATGGATATTCAAGTTTACCACACTGGCCAGAAGAGGTGGAAAATGGATACTCAGATACATTTGTTGATAGAGCAGTCAACTGGAGCAACGCACTGGAGAGAAATTTGGCAGAACCACATTTTAAAATGTGAAATACCTAATTGGTTAGCCATTCTGGAGGAACACTTGCAAATATACCCAAAGAGACATGGATGAGAGTGTTCTTTACAACTTGGGAATAACACAGTGAAATGGCCCCAATGCCCATAGTAAGGAGATGATTAAAAAATGGTTATCATACAATATAACATTTAAAGAAATTAATTAGATTTGCACATAGTAACATGGGTAATGCAAACTTATGGAACACATACCCAGAATGATGACATGCTTTTTGTTTTGTTTTTTATGGTGGTGTGTGTGCAAAAGTACCCTCTAAAGTTCTGGAAATATAAACACTAAACCTACAGTAGAGTGGGGGCAGGGGGTCACAAAATAACATCAGATATAATAGTCTAGTTTTTTTTTTATTTATTTTTTAATTGAAGGATAATTGCCTTACAGAATTTGGTTGTTTTCTGCCAATTTTTTTTTTCAGTATAATGTACTCATTGAGATTATTTTTAAAATAACCCTTTAAGAAACTGGTGACTGATTTGAATGTTCTTAGTGTTTTCACTTGCATTTGTTGAGTATGTTATGAAGATTACTCACTTGATAAGACTTAATATGCTAATGAAAGGTTTAGTTAGGGAATACTGAGAAAAGAATGTCTTTCTTGCTAAAATTACATTAACTGCTATTTTAGAAAATCCAGTAGATATTGTATACATCAGGGAATTAGTCTTGACATGTAAAGTTTTGTAGATGTTTTCTCTTTTTTTCATATGTCTATTCTCATATATAGCTGAATTGGGAGTCACCAATTTAGATAAAAAAGGCAGGAATATTACAGAAAGCTGCAGTAAGAATGCAGAGGAAAGTGGATAGGATGTAAGATTCAGGGTTAAGAAAGTTTTATGAGATGAAGGTGGAAATTGCTAGCCCGGGGTAACAGTTTTATGGAGACCAGGCCAGAGAGGGTAGTAAACCATAGTAGGAACATGTACTAACCACCCTTGGTCAAAAGAATTGAACAGTTTTCTTATTTTCTAACTTACTATTCTAGTGACATTATTCTAGAGATCAGAACTGGCTTTACTTGAGACGTGATCTTTGTTAATGGCCAGTCCATTCTGAGAGTAGAGTCACTTGTTCACGTTCTGAGTGTGAGAAGCCCTGGTGAGGCTTAACTTGTGATTCTCATTCTTAGGGATAAAGTGGCTGTTCTTCAAGTACTTGCATCCACGGTGCACAGGGTAAGTAACAATTTCAGGTTTTTGTATCTAATTCAGCTAATAATAAACTTAATGTTCACACCTCTTCTTTATTCACAATTTAACTGTTGTGGATCTGGAGAGTTTCATAGCACCATCTAGTCCAGACTCTTCATGAGACAAATGAGAAATCTAAAGCTTTTAAAGTGATTAGCCCAGGGCTGCTTAGAATATTAAAACCTTGACCTGGTGCCATGGTTTTTTCCCTCCATATTCTTTGTTTTTATATTATGCCAGTGATTTTTAACCTCCTGAAGAGCTTGTTGAAATACATGTTCCTAGGGAATGGGTGGGTGTGGTATGCAAGTGACCTGTAGAACCACTTTGAGAACAGTGTACCTACCCACCATACTGAAAGAAATTCAGTGATTGAGAATCTGGGTCTTGAGGCCAAATACTCTGTTTCATCTTTATCACAAAGTTACCTTTTCTCTTGATACATCAGGGAATTAGTTTTGATGTGTAAAATTGCCTACCTGTTTTCTTTTTTTTTTAAATGGCTTGTATTATGAATGTTATATCAAACTTACTTTAGAAAAATACATCTGGTTTATAAATCTGTTTCCTTATCTGTAAAATGGGTGTTTACCTAGAGCACCAAACATTGAGGTTTCGGGTGAGAAATAAGTTAGTACACGTGAAAGGGCTTAGGACATCACCTGGCACAAAGGACATGCTCAGTAAATACTGGCTATTTTATTATTGCTCCAGCTATCCGATTTATTTGTGAATAAATTCCTCCCTTCACAATTCAAGAGTAGGGTCTGTAGTCTTGATAGATAAACTGAAACCATAGTATATGCCTCAGAAATAGAACTTTCAAGTTCTCTTTTTTTTTTTAACCACAATATCTATGTGGATTCTCACCCTCCTTGAGGTGGTTGTCACAGATTTCCAGAACTGTTCTTCGATTGTAGGTGTTAAACTTGTGGGCCAAATACATCCTGGAAGTTTCTGAGATTGTTTTTAAAATACTGCATCTCCATACTAGCAAGATACTTAGATTTTCAGCTCACATATCCATAAATAGGCACTTGAAATGTAAACTGGGGAAATAGACCTCAAAGATTGTTGTCAGTTTTTCAGTGAGATTGAGCCAAGGCGCATTTAAGTCAAAGAAGTTGTGGAATTATGTGCACACTTGTCTGATTTGGGCTTGGGCTCATAAAATCCAGGGGACAATTATTCATTCATTCAGGAACCACACATTCTTCCCTTAACGGTGCTTACCAGGTCATCCAAGCCACCATCATCTCTTACTATGTTGGATTAATTACAGCAGCCTCTGTTCTCTTGATTTCCTCCACACGTTAAGCAGCCATAGCGACCCTGCTAAAACGTTGATTCACATCACTTTTCTACTCAGAACTCAAATGGCTTCTCATTTGTTATAAATTTCTGCCTTTATCTCTTTACATCTTTTCCTTGAGGTCTTCCCGGACGACACCATGTAGAATTGCATGTTTATTTCCTCTGACAGTTTGTCCTCCCTCCCTCCCTTTTCCATAGGAGATATTTCCTTTAAATTTACTGTATGTTTTATTTGCTTTGTTTTCTGGAGATTTTATTCCCCACTAGATTGTGAGTTCTGTGGAGGATAGGATTCTGTTGTCTCCCTGGCACGTATGAGGTGCTCAGTAAATACCAAATGAGTGAATAAGGCAGGCACTGAACTAAGCCAACGGTGGCTGGGGAAAGGGATGGTGGAGTAGGTAGAGGATTTAAGGAACTGGAGTCTGCCACAACTCATGACAGCTTGGTTGAATGGAAGTAACGGGAGGGGGTCTTTGATTGGGGTTGCAGAGTGCTTGGTATCCTTCACTGAAATGGAGACGATAAGAGGGGAGGTGACTCTGTCAGAGAAGTATAGTCAGGGGTAGACTTGGTGTGAGGCATCTGAGCTACAGGGCCAGAGTCAAGGAGTGGTTTCTCAAACCATTAAGGGCTTGGAAATCACTGAGGGGGAAAAATGTGGGGAACAAATAAGAATAAGTAAGTGAGAGAGGTCCAGCATCTGACCCAAATCTAGAGGCCCAAACAGGTATTTGATAAAGATGGTGGACAGGACAGAACCAGGCAGCGGTTGGGAATCATGGGGTAATGGTCCAAGGAAGCCATCCTAGAACTGCTTCCTCTGAGTTGTCCTTCATACCCGTCACATCTTGGTAGAGAGTGGATGCATGCGTGCTAAGTTGTTTCAGTCATGTCCAGCTCTGATCCTATGGACTGTAGCTCACTAGGCTCCTCTGTCCATAGAATTTCCCAGGCAAGAACACTGCGATACCCTCCTCCAGGGGATCTTCTCAACCCAGGGATCAAACCCGTGTCTCTTACTTCTGCTGCATTGGCAGGCGGGTTCTTTACCACTGTCACCGCCTGTGAAGCCCAGAGATCACCTGTGAACCAGATGAAGTGAGCCTCAGAGGAATGTAAAGGGAATACAGGATTTGAAAGTGGTATCAGGAAGTGAGAGCCCCAAAAAGTACTGCTTTCAGGCCCTAGGTCGGAGCATCCCTCTGTTAAGAACCACAGGGAAGCTCTCCCCCAGAGAGTCCAGGTGAATACTTAAGGGTGCAGGGTGGCAAGGGGACTGTCAGAAGAGATTCGGATTGTAGGTTGAGTTTTTTCTGTGAAACAAAGTTGCTAGAAGGCTCAGAGAAGGGGGCTGTGAGGGAGAGGGGAGGAATAGAGGAAGTAATTCGGGAAGAGGACGGAATATAGGAAGTAATTTGGGGGCCCTTCTAAGAGAGACTGCTGGTGCCAAAGAGTTAATCTTGCTCAGGGTTCTACCTGAAAGAACTTAAAGAAGTTTGGAACTTTGGGAAACTGGACACGGGAGACACTGCTGCTGTTCCCACTTCCTGAGAGGGCCCCATAATTAGTATTCTTCATTTGAAGGAGCCTCTTGGGTGGTTAGTACCATGTGTCGAAGGGACACCCTAGTTCAGGAAACTGGTGCCCAGGCTGGTTAATTCAGAGGCTCTTGACTTTGCATTTAAAACAGTGATTTCCCTGCTGATAGAAGCCCCTAGTTAAAACCAGTCATGGGGATTTGAGCCATTGTTTTCTTTAAATTGTGCATAACTATAACCAAGTCTCCCAGAGCCTAGGGTACAGCGTAGGTATTAGTGTCTACCAACATACATATTTCTGCTTCTGTGATACATGCATAGTTAAAACTTCCACAAGGTCCTCTTAATAAAAACCTAGCTAAAGAGACTTGTTTGTCTTCTCCACAGGATACCACAGCTGCACCTTATGCATTTCAGGATGATCCTTACCTCATACCAACATCCTCTGTGGAATCTGTGAGTATTTTTATGTAACTCAGCTAGTATTATGTTTTACCTTGTTGGTTTGGGTGACAGGACTTACACGTAGGACTTATTTTACCTGTAGACACCTTTCAAAAGTTCATAGAGGCTGATAGATAAATTGGTAGATTTTCTGATTCTTTTACTTCTTTTATCAAAAAGTTTTAGAGATTGGCTATGGAGAAGGTATTTGGTTTGGATTTTTAGTACTTAGAGATCTTTCCCACCACAGAGCAATTCACTTAATTTAAATGTGTTGTTTTTACACACCTCAAGCTGTATGTAGGATCCAACCTGAAATTATGTCCCATTCAGCAGAGGTGGGTAAATAATAATGAGGTAGTTTAATTTCTAATTGGAATTCTTTGTATTACAGTGTTCTTCAGGCGGGTGGGGGAGGGCAGAATAATTCTTGCTGAGGGTGTAACTTTGATCTAAATTATATGTAATACCAATTTACATCTATATCTTTTTCTTTTACAGCATTCATTTTTGTTGGCAAAGAAGTCTGGAGAGAATGCAGCAAAATTTATTATTAATTCATATCCCAAATATTTTCAGAAAGACATAGCTGAGCCTCATATACCGGTAAGGAGAGGTAATTGCAATTTTTAGATAATACTATGTAAATATTAACTAAGCTGTCACAACTAACGTTTAAGTAGCCATTTGAATGCCTACAGCATTTGGATGAAAAGTCTTTTAATGTTTATGGTTATCATTGCTCACAGTACTAACCTTTATTATCATTTTTAAAACTACATGTATTTGCTCTTCATTTTATTTTCTTCATTTGGCTTCTGCAACACCAGGCTCTCAGATCTTCACCTCTGGCTTCCTTTTCTGGTTCCCTTAGTTGGTTTTCCATCCACTCCGCAAACCTTGGTGTCTTTTTCTCAGGATTCCATACTTGGTCACTCTCTTTTTTTCTGACTAGAATCTTCCTGCTTCAATAACCCTTATACTCCATTTGGCATTCTTGTATGTTGGCCTCGATGTCTCTCCTTGGGAGTCCAGACGCGTTTTTCCAGCCCACTCTGTTCTGTAGTCGTGAGGAGTGAGTGCAGCGTGCCCGCTGGGTGCTCGGCATTGCGCTTCCTGTGTCACACAGTGGGCAGCCGAACGTGGGCCCTGCCTCTGAGTTAAGTAGCGGAAATGGTAACTCAGACTCACTGTGTCTAAAACTGCTTCCTCTCACATCTCCCTACTTTCTAAGCACACGTACCCAGACACCCCTTGTACTTCTCAAGCAGTAAGTCTTGGGGACAAATTAGGATGTCAGTGTGATTGTGTCCATAAAGATACTGAAATCCTGAACTAAGACAGTAACAGCAGTAGAATGACCATTTGTTGGGCCTACCCTCTCCCCTCTATGTTTCTGACTAGTAGTTACTCTTCTGTGTTTAGTTCACTTCTGCTTGAAGCCTTCCCTGGGTCCCTAAGTATTTGAGTAATTTGGTGAGTGAGGTAAAATCAACATACCTTGGTAATACTGAATGTTTACATTTAAAGAAGTTATCAAGGATGGAAGGTTTCCGTCTTTACAAACTAGGTATACTGGGGAACCTTCAACCAAGATTGAGGAGAGTAGGAAGGATGGTTTTAGCACGGGAAAAATAGTAAGTTAAGCTTGAAATTGGGGAATTTAGTTCAATATAGGATTCTTCAAATACAGACTAAATATCTGTAATTAGGAGCTTTTAAATTTTCTGCCCCAACTTAGGAGATCTCTAAGTAATCTTATTTTGGTGACAGGAGAGGTAAAGTTAGATTACCTAAAGAGGCATTCATGTTAAAATGATAGGTACTATCTAATACATGAAGCATGAATATTATGGTGTGTTAATCAAAATCTTGTCTTACTCTGTTGTGCTTTCCCATTGACCTGTTTCCATTTAACCATCTTATTTTCTAGTGTTTAATGCCTGAGTACTTTGAACCTCAGATTGAAGAAATAAGTGAGGCTGCTCTGCAAGAACGAATCAAGCTCAAAAAAGTCAAAGCTTCTGTGGACATATTTGATCAGCTTTTGCAAGCAGGTGACTAAGTTCATTTGAAGCCCCCACGTTCTTGTGAGGCTCCCCTGGGAACGTGGGCATGGCAGTAGGCCACAGTTGTGCACGTGATCTAGATAGTTGTGAGTACGAGTTACAAGTGCTATGCTACTTCCTCTGCTTGGTAGCTGTGTTTATATTTTTTATAGTTCAAGAAGTCCTGTTTCAAGTTCTGCTTTAGTGTCATTTTTAAATTGTGGGTAGGATAGAATTGTCCTTGCTGGTGTGTTGTCCTCTTGTGCAGGTAGAGAAATCTTACGGCCATTCTTCCTTAGCTTCTGTTTTTAACATCAGGTTTGTTCATGCTGTATTCACGTTTCTTTTATTCTTTAAGTGTGTTTGAGAGGCATAAAACAGACCAGAAAGAAATACTTAAAAAGGAAAGAGCACTAAGCTGCAGGATCAGAAGCTTGGGTAGGTTCTGGCACTGATTAGCACTGTAGCCTTGAAAAACTCAACTCCTTTAATCCTTGTGTCTCTCAGATCCTGTGGCTATCTGAATTTGATGTGGATGAACCTCCAGGGGTATAGGTGGCAGGGCTTGTAAGCTACCATGAGATGAGAATATACCTGTGGCGGCATCGAAGGTAGCAGCATTGCTTAAGTTCTGGAATATGGAGTGCTGGTCAGTGGTTTAGGATAAAAATCAGCCAAACATACAAGAGATAGAAACTGGACTGAATCACTCAATATAGTCTTGAATATGGCAAGAACCATTTGCAGAAAACTTTTAAGAATTTTGGTGTGTAGCCTGTTAAAGCATCAGGTATACAAATGAATTGCTGATGCAGATTGTCATTTAGGGAGGCTTTTCGCTTTTCCCTCTGCTTGTTGAATATGATAAACATCATTATATTAAGACTTGTCTTCCTCTGCTTTACACACTGTGTGGTGTAGGTGCATGCAGCTGTTAAGTGAACTTTACTAAAGACTGGGTCAGAGCTATAACACTCAGCTCATTCAGAGTAGTGGAATGAGTTGACATACTAGGAGAGGAAATACAGAAAAGTTTACTATCAAGGCTCTAATAAGTGCCAAGCACTTTGTAGGCATTTAATTCTATAACACCTTATGAGTTGGTGTGCTGGTAGTCATTTATAAAGGAAGCTGACTGACTTCAAGTAATCTTCAGGGTCACACAGCTCTGAGATGCTATGAGGCAGTCAAGTTACATTTCATCACCTATTTCCTCTCCACTCTGCCATTTTGTCTTTTTTAGGCTTTTAAGTTTCCTGATGGGCATTTGTATTATCAGTATATTTTCTTAAGAAAAATGCAGTTAACTTCTCTTTTTAAAGCACTAAGTTATATTTCATACTTCTTCCTGTTCCCTTTTCTCCCTCTTGATAAGTGTCAAGATGGGAACATAATGTTTGGGACAGTAATTTTTAAAGGCTACTATCTTTAGGCATGTATTTCAGCGAGGGCCTGGATCCAAGCGAAAGAGTTCGATTGCATTTGTGGAGATGGAACTGGGCCCTGGGGGGCTACATGTCAATCATTTCCAGAGCATTCAGTTCAGAGATGATAGGTAGAACGACGCGAGAGTTTCTCCGGGGGTATGAGTACATAGAATAAATGAACCCAGGGTCAAACTTGGCTCTTGTATTTTATCTCTTCTATCAGACAGCACTGTTAGGGACTGTGTGCTGTCTGCATCACTCCAGATGCTTAAGTTGATGTGGGGTGCACACTCACCCTTGGAGAATAGATGACACTGGATATGTAGCCAGGAGGGCCACACCTCATAGGAAGAGTGAAGACTTTTAATCCAGTACGCTTTAGTTCTTTGATGTTTCAATGTTTCTCCCCCCTACCCTTTTTTTCCCCCACCCACAGGAACCACTGTATCTCTGGAAACAACTAACAGTCTCTTGGATTTGTTGTGTTACTATGGTAACCAAGAACCCTCCACTAATTATAATTTCCAGCAACAGGAACAGTCAGAAGAGTTGGTAATGATTTTTTTAAGTTTCTTTTGATAGTAATTCTTTCTCATTCCAAGGCGAGTTCTTACGCCTTATGTTAGGGTAGAGATTTGTGCTGAGGTGTGATGTAGCACAGTATGTAGCCTGGACAAAATGTGATGTGAAGGAAGAGATGGATTTTAACAATTGTTTTACTCTGGTTCCCTCCTTAAATGTATTTTGACCTTACCTGCCACAACACTGGGTCTTCTTTTTACCTTCTACCGAATCTTTATTTCCTTTGCTTTTCCAAAATTTCCTCTGCCTTACTGCTTTTGAGTAGTATAACTCGGAGAATGCTTTCTGTTGTCGTATTCTGTTTTATATCTGTTGGTGATGGCTCATTTCAGGAAGAGGCCGCCGAAGAGGGAGATCACGTGAAGTCTAAGAAGGCAGCAGGCCATCAGCTTAGAGTTACCTGGAGGTATGTTACAGTATAATTAGAACTTGTATGGATCCGTAGGGTTGTGGAATGCTCTCCTGAAGAAGATACAACCTTGTAGTACTCTAAAATGCAATTTGTTATTTGTGTGCAATGTAAATGTCACAGTTGGTTTTCATATGTGTTTGGACCATTTTTTGTTAGATCTTTACCTCCAACCAGCTAGAGGTACAGGACGTGTTGATTTCTCTTCCCCACTCCCGCCTAACTCCATGTAACCATAATGGTATGGTTCTTTTGGTAGTTTCGTTAGTGGTCCTACCTTGCACTCCAGTTCAGTTCAGTTGCTCAATCGTGTCTAATTCTTTGCAACCGCATGAATCGCAGCACGCCAGGCCTCCCTATCCATCACCAACTCCCGAAGTTTACTCAGACCCATGTCCATCGAGTCAGTGATGCCATCCAACCATCTCATCCTCTGTCGTCCCCTTCTCCTCCTGCCCCCAATCCGTCGTAGCATCAGGGTCTTTTCCAGTGAGTCAACTCTTCACATGAGGTGGCCAAAGTACTGGAGTTTCGGCTTCAGCATCAGTCCTTCCAATGAACACTCAGGACTGATCTCCTTTAGGATGAACTGGTTAGATCTCCTTGCAGTCCAAGGGACTCTCAAGAGTCTTCTCCAACACCATAGTTCAAAAGCATCAATTTTTCGGCGCTCAGCTTTCTTCACAGTCCAACTCTCACATCCATACATGACCACTGGAAGAACAATAGCCTTGACCAGATGGACTTTTGTTGGCAAAGTAATGTCGACCTTGCACTATATACCTCTAATTCTAAAAAGGTTCAGAATTTTTAAAATTATGTTAGAATACATGCATGCTAGGGCATAGTTCTAAATTAAGACTGCTGGCTAACAAACAGGTATTCACTACTGAACAAAAGATAAATATCATTTATGTAATGATTCAGAATTCAAATTAACTGAGTAAAACTATCTAAAAGAAAGGTATTTAGGGTATCTGGAAAAGGAAAACTACTGTTAATATCAAAGTGAAAAGAATAAAAAATTAAACTTTCTTCAGTAGATACTAATAATTTCTTAGAGTGGTTAAGAGAGGGACTTGTGAGTACCACTTTGGCCCAAATCCAGGCTCTATTTTCCAAGATGTGTTCGTAACAGAGAACATGAAGGTGCAGCATGATTTGTATAACAGAGCACATTGACTGACTGACTGAAAGAGCCAGATTATATAAGCTAGAATAGAACAAAGAATTGCAGGACACCACATGTCTGTGGTTGCCTCTGGTTAATTACATCCAGTTGAAAGAGGGTGGAGGAACTTCACTGTATACCCTGCTGTGCAGTTTGCTTTTTGTTTACAATGCTGAGTATATATTACACCTTTCAAGTCCTGCTTCTGCCACTTAACCAGTAAATTTTTGGACAACTTAAGGTCTTTGAGCCTCAGTTTTTCCCATTTTTAAAATGATAGTAACCAGATCTCCCTCTCTGGGTGGAAAGAATTCCTTGAAATTATATGCAGAAAATGCTTGGGACGTTGCAAATACTCCATGTGGTAGCCGTTACTGGTTTTATCTGTTTCTGCTGGTTCACGTTTACTCTCTTGTGTCTAGAGCCAAAAACCATGCTGAGAGAATCTTTGCTCTGATGCCTGAGAAAAATGCACATTCTTACTGCACAATGATTCGAGGAATGGTGAAGGTAACATTTGTTCTGGATAGTTTTATGTTTTTGTCTTTAATTTCTACTGAATTGGGGTTTCTCAGCCTCAGAACCCTTCACACCTGGGCCACATAGTTTGTTGTCATCAGGGGTTTCCAGAGCCTTGAAGGATGTTTGGGAACTGCCTCTACCCACTTCATGTCAGTGATGCATCCTCCCATCCCCCAGTTGTGACAACGTAATTCTCAGAGTTGTTTTTTTCATTAAAATAAGATACACTTATTGAAAAAAATTGTTAGGAAAGTTTTTAAAAATTGAAATCACTGGGTTGAAGTAACAGGAATAGAAACTGTATTATACCACACTGCTCATGTAAAAAGGAAAAACACTATCCATTCTGGTCTATCCTTTTACTTCTGAGAACAGTAGATATGCAAATATTTATTAAAGACAACTTTTATGGTGTTTAATTTTCATCCTTTCCCTCTTCCAGCACCGAGCTCATACACAGGCATTAAGCTTGTACACTGAACTATTAAACAACAGACTCCGTGGTGAGTTGTGTTTGGAGAATTCCCCTCTGTCCTTCCTTTCCTTCTCTTGTGTGGGCGTGTGTGCGTGCTCAGTTATGTCCCAGCTCTGCGACCTCATGGACTGTAGCTTGTCAGGCTCCTCTGTCAGTGGGATTTCCCAGGCAAGAATACTGAAATTGGTTGCCATTTCCATCTCCAGGGGATCTTCCCAACCCAGGGATTGAACCCGCATCTCCTGCATTGGCTGGTGAATTCTTTACCTCTGCATCACCTCTGCATTCTTACCTCTGCACCATTATATCAGCAGTCTATAAAATCATAGGATTTTACCTTAATGATTTGCTCATTCTTAATCTTTTCCTGTGATGTTGGTGATTGAAGCGAGAATCCAGAGCCAGAGAAAAGAATGGTTTTCTACTTTTGTGAGCTCATGTGCATGAACACTTAGCCTTTAATCACCAACCCCAAATTTTGTTAAAGTAGTTTTCTTCTTTTATAGCTGATGTGCACACTTTCAATTCATTGATTGAAGCAACAGCATTGGTGGTGAATGAGAAATTTGAAGAAAAGTGGAATAATATATTGGTAAGGAGGAACCCTCACTTCGCCTATTAATAGGCCAAAATATCCTTTGCTCGGAGTCCTGAAATGCAGGAGATGCGAGTTCGATCCCTGGGTCAGGAAGATCTCCTGGAGAAGGAAATGACAACCCACTCTAGTATTCTTGCCTGGGAAATGCTATGAACAGGGGAGTCTGGTGGGCTACAGTCCATGGGGTTACAAGAGTTGTACATGACTTACCTGCTACACCACCACCACCCACCATCCTTTGCTAGGAGTACATGGGATGGAGAGAGCATTCACTGAGCATCTTTTGTGGTGGTCACGACTGGGCACTCCACTTGTGGTGACCTGTTCACGCCCTTCTAGCAACTCTTAGTTTAAGTAGCTGTGACCCAAGCATACAGCTAGAATCCAGGAAGACCAGTTTGCTATATTATATTCATTTATTTCCTTATAATCATGTTTTTTTTTTTAAATTAAAATAAGACATGCATTGAAGAAAACTACTAGAAAAGTTTTTAAAAATTGAAATCACAGGAACAAAGTAACAGAAATAGAAACCACACTGTACCGTTCATTGTCCAGTCACTCAGTTGTGTCCAACTCGTTGCAGCCTCATGTATTGTAGCCCACCATTTTCCTCTGTCCATGGGATTCTCCAGGCCAGAATACTAGAGTGGGTTGCCATTTCCTTCTCCAGGGAATCTTCCCAACCCAGGGATCAAACCCACATGTCCTACATTGGCAGCTGGGTTCTTTACCACTGAGCCACAAGGGAAGTGCATACCATACCATACTGCTCGTGTAAAAAGGAAAAAACCGGTCTGTTCTAGTCTCTTCTTTTGTTTCAATCTTAGACTCGCTAGGCCGCTAAAGACAGTTGGACACCGACATTACGTGGGGATTAGAGTGACTGTTGAAAAGGCCTTGTTCTCTCAGGGGCACTAGATAATTCTTAAGTGTGGGGCTTATTTATTAATCTGCTTTAAACGTATGCAGAGAGCCCAATTCTTTTAGTGTGTTCTGTTTATTGGACAAATTATCCACCAGGCATTAAAAAAAAAAATAATACTCTTGCTTTTGATTCAACTAGGACCTACTGAAACAAATGGTTGCACAGAACGTGAAGCCCAACCTACAGACTTTTAACACTATTCTCAAATGTCTCCGAAGATTTTATGCATTTGGAAAATTGCCAGCCTTACAGACCTTCCGGGAAATGAAAGCCGTCGGGATAGGTGAGGGTGTATCCTCATGTCCCTCTCTGAAGGCAGTGCTGACCTGAGGTCCAGGCAATCAAAAGAGAGACTAAACTTTCCTGTGCTGTTTACATAATATGGTAGGAATTTCCTTTCCACCATTAAGCACACTTTTTAATTATGTATATTTAGTATAATGGGAGCTCTATCATCCTTTTGCTGTTTATAGCAAATTACACTCAGGATTTTAGATACTTTTTAATGGATTTCTTGATTCTAGGGAGAATTGTTCACTTACAGTTGGCTGGTTTTAAAATCTCGTGGCATTTTCTGGTATAATTAAGTATTTGAACCCAATTGTGTGGTAGTATATTGTGTGTTTTTCAGTATTTATGTTATTGAATCAGTTCACTTCAGTAGCCTTTAGTGTTCTTAAATGAAACTCACAGAATATTGACTGTAATGTTTTAGTAATAGGTGTCTGGACTTTCTAAGAGGAATTTTATCTCTATGACACCTTTCCACCTTTAGAGTAATCATATCAGCTGGGAAATGTCTTTGTTCTGAAGAACAGAATGCATCTTCTACTTAAGTAACACCATTAATGTTTTTATTCACTATACCTCAGTAAGCTGTATTTCTTATAGCTGTGTTTGACTTTTTTTTTTTCTTTTTTCTATGTACCTGGTAACATAAGAACCCTCGCTTGCAACATACCATTATATTATTCAGCTGTTTTATCAACATGGTATGTATGTCATTATGTTATTTATTTAGAGATTAGGCTAACTTCACTGCCAATGAATTAAGATTGGATAGTTCACATAATAGAATTGTCTACCGCCTGAGCAAAAAGTTACTCTTGAGGGTAGTGTCATCTTTTTGTGATGTAAAACTTAAGTCGGAGTGGAGGAAGATCATTAAGTGTACTAACAGGGGCAGTGTATGGTTTTGGCCAGAAGGTACTTGAGTTTGGGATTCCTTTTGCCCTGAAGAACTGTGCTGTCTAATACAGTAGCTACTTAGCCACACATGGCTATTTAATTAAATTCCTTCCTAGCATTAGTGCTCAGTAGCCACTTGTGACTTCTGACTGCATTGTCAGTGATGCAATTATAGAACACTTCCGTCTTTGCAGGAAGCTGTTGGATAGTGTTGCTCCACAGTAAACCTTAACATTATTTTGAAGCCTCATGGGAGAACTTCAAGGCTCCATTTGTTACCTAATTTTAGGTCAGCTGTGCTCTGTTGAATGGGTTTTGGAGCAAGGCACACCTGAGTTGAAATTTTATCTCTACCATTTACCAGATGTGTGGGAAGGGACTGGATATCTTACCTGAGTGATGACATCACAATGTAATGAATTATATATAGTGTCCTGTTCATGCGTGGAAGGCATGTAGTAAGCACTCACAGTCTGTAGGTTCTTAGTCATTTGCCCCAACCTGAGAAACAACCCTGGGTTTAGAAATGGCAGTTCCAGTCTTTCTCTCCTGTAATGGGCTTTTTTGTGTGAAAACAATAGAAAACCTTTATTTTGGAAGGGTAATCTTGCAAAATTCACAATCTCACACATAGGGAAGTAGGAGCAGTTAATGTATGTGCTGCCGAAGTGAGCACAGTAGGAGCAGTTAAATGACTTTATCTTGAAAACAGGTGAACCGTTTCCACAGTAATTTTGTCATATAAAATTTTACTAAACTTCGGTGGTGTACTAAAACTAAGTAATTCTCACCCTAAAGCCTGTTCCATTGCAACATCACACATCACCCTGGCTAACTAAAGTCCCTAGTGCTTGTGCTTCCTAAGTAACACCCAGGGTCACAGGGGTAGGAATGTCAGTGTGACTTAGGGATATAAATTGACTGTCTGTAATAATAATTGCTAGGAATTTACCCAAAGGAAAAAGCCTAAAATAATGAAGAGATGATACATATAAAGTAGGTTATTAGGATAGTAGAATAATTAGAACTGTAACAAATGTAGACATCCTTGAAGAACTTCACAAGTACATCTATGCTGTCACTGAAACTATATTATCACTTACAAGTGGATAGGTGGGGAAGGGAATATGGGTAAATAATGTGAAACATTTAATTGGAAATGTCATCGATGGATTTTAATTCTATAGTTTTCTGTTTCTTGGCTCTCATCCTGGTCATACTTGAAAGGAGCACAAATGTTTATTAGCAGAAAACATACTTCTTTTCTAAGTATGCAGGCTTGGTGAAGGTGTCAGTCTGTCTCCCATTTCAGTTCAAGTCCGCCTTGTAAGGAGACTTAAGGAGGGGCCGAGTCTGTTGGGAGCACTGTAACTGACCCAGGCCTTGGGGAGAACTGCATTCAGCAGAGGGTGCACTCATTCCTCTCATGGGGCTGTGCCTGGCCAGCTCCATGGCTTGGGTGGAGGAATGAGAAAGGTGGCCTTAGGACTAGTTCTGCCTACCCCATGGTTGTGCAGGAAGTGGGCTCCTCAGAAAACCCCATTGCCTTTTTTTTCTGCAGAAAGCCCTTCAAAAGGATCATCCCTCATCATCTATGATATCATGGATGAAATAATGGGAAAGAAGTTTTCTCCACAGGACCCCGATGATGGTACGTGCAGAAATTGCTGGCGTAAGACAGACAGCCTCTTTCCCTGACTGCTGGGTTATAGAGCCTTATGATGAGGATGACGTTTGATTTAGTTTAGTCATCTTTGGGTGATTATTCTGAGAAAGCAGCGTGTCAGTGGCTTGTGCTGTATGTTGCTTCTCCTTGTGTTTTCATTTTTTAGGTTTGTCCTACACCTTACCAGTTTCATTGACAGGATTTTTAATTAATGTTACTAACCTGAAAACATACTTTATGCATAGTAACCAAGGCTCTTCTGAACTTTGATTTTTCAGATATGTTTTTTCAGTCAGCCATGAGGGTTGTAAGTACCATTTCTTGCTTAAAACTTTTTTCCCCCTCTTTTATCCATTTCCTAAATTCGTCATTGGTGGTTGGGAGGACTCTCCCTGATTCTTTCACTTCCTAACTCTTAACTTGTTTTCATGTCATTAGTCCTAATTTTTTATTCCTCTAAAATCTCTGCAAAATCACAGCATTCCTACCCTGTGTTGATTGTGTTTGTTCTTTTTTCATATCTTTCTTCAGATAAGGTTTCAGAGTATTTCATATTAGCCTGTTGCTAACTTATTAGATTGATGGTTATGTCTAATTTTGTTTTTTCAGCTTATCATGCTAATCATAGGAAAAATTTTCAAGTAATTTCAGAATGAATTTAGCAGTCTTATTCCCTGAGGATAATTGCTTCACAACTTAGTGTGTATCTTTCCATGTTCTTTCCTCTGGGTATTCAGATATGCATGTTCACACTCATTTCCATGGTATCTTGTTTGTTGATGGCAGTATAGTATTTCATAGAAGGGAATGACTTCTCGTTGGGTGGGTTTTGGAGTTGTTTCATGGGGATTTTTGCCAATATAGTGATGCTAGAGATAGCACTGCATCTGTCTTGTGCATGGCATCCCAAGTGTTTTTGTCTAATACTAAATAAAGGTGTAATTACTAGATGAACATTATTTTGTTTTAAATTTCACTGAACTTGGTGATTTAATCCCCACCCCCAATTTCTTATAACTCATTTGCTGTCAATCAGTAATATGTTAAATCAGTATACGTGTTTCCCCAGGTATCTACCTTTTTGCTTTATGTAATGAGCCACCTTTGGCTGATAAGGATCACTGAGTGATGGTTATTACTACTTTTACATTTTCAGTGCTCTTCTCTCAGAGATCTAGAGCTTGCTTACCAGGTCCATGGCCTTTTAAACACTGGAGACAACCGGAAATTCATTGGTCCTGATCCTCGGCGTAATTTTTATTAGTAAGTGTATTGGAAATGTATCCTTTGCATTAACGGAGCACCTGTATGCAGCCGGTAGTCAGTTCTGCAGGTGGGAGACTTGGCAGCCTTATTTTAGATAGCATGATCCTGACTTAACAATACGAGTTAGTTGAAAACTTGGAAGGTTCAGTGGTAAAACTGATTTGTCAACACTTGGTAGATCAAACAGTGATAAAACTGATTTGTCAGACTGAGGTATCCACTGTGTATCTTTTAAGCTATTTGTAACTTTAAATCCATGTATCTTTTCCTTGTGCTGTTCTATGCTTATTTGCTCAGTCCTGTCAGACTCTTTGTGACCCCGTGGACTGTAGCCTGCAGGACTCCTCTCCATGAGGGTTCTCCAGGCCAAATACTGGAATGGGTTGCCATGCCCTCCTCCAGGGCATCTGGTTTTCCAACCCAGGATTGAACTAGGTCTTCCGCATTGCAGGTGAATTCTTTACCCTCTGAGCCACCAGGGAAGTCCAAGAATACTGAAGTAGGTAGCCTAACCCTTCTCAAGGGGATGTTCCCAATCCAGGAGTCGAAATGGGGTTTCCTGCATTGCAGGCGGAATCTTTACTAGCTGATCTACTCAGGAACCCACACCCTCCTATTTTATATTTTCGAATTCATAGCAGGGTGAATCCTTAAAGTTTTCATCTTGGCCTCTTTTGTTTTTAAAGATGTTAGAGCCCAAGGAGACTCCTTACATGGGTTTGCTTTTAGGCAGATAAAAACAAGAATGTAAGGAGGCAGCCTGTTGAAAGGTGTGTGGTGGTTCTCTTCCATGTGTTCAAATCCTCTCTTCACATTGAACACTGGTTGAGTAGTATCCTCACTCCTCTCCACCATGAGCTGAGAGTGTATAAACCAGTTGAAGATACCAGTGACCAGTTGAAGATAAGAAAGTGTCAAACTGGAAAGTCCAAAAAGCACAGTTAGCATCTCCTGAGTCATACATTGACCTGTGTCACTTGAAATTGTAACTTATAAATTGTCTTTAAATTCTATGTAATATGTCATTATATGACTGTGCTGTAATGTAATCATTCCCCTACTAGGTAGGGATTTCAGACTAAACGTGTTTTCTTTCTCCATCACAGTTCCAAGTTCTTTAGTTTGCTTTGTCTAATGGAACAAATTGATGTCACTTTGAAGTGGTATAAGGACCTGATACCTTCGGTAAGATGATTCATGACTTAACATTTATCATTGTAGATGTTTGTGGGTGTCTTTGCTGAGTAATACTTTAAAAATGTATTTGTATTTTTCTTAACCAGGTCTTCTTTCCCCATTCCCAAACGTTAATAGATCTTCTCCAAGCATTAGACGTAGCCAATCGGCTAGAGATGATTCCTCAGATCTGGAAAGGTCAGTTTCAGTTTGTGTGTCCCGACCCATCTTACTCTGTTGTCTTAGGTTTTGATTCACAAGTGTGTTAATGTGGTTAGGGAAGAAAGCTTCCATTTTTTCACTAAATTAAACTCTGTAGTTGAAGTCACCTTCAGGGTGACTTGCTCGTGTTTCATATTGGATTGCATGAGTAACAGTGGGGTGGAAAGGACTTCAGTTGGTTCCTTTGTGACCAGAAAAGGCTGGGTTTTGTGCACTTGTGTTAGTTACATGGGTCACCCAAAATCTCAACCTGCAAAGCCTGTGCCATTCATTCCTCTGGACTGTGATGCATCTGTGTGTTTCAGTAGCTAACAGTGATATTGGTGATAGTATGGTTTCTGAGGAACAGGCATGACTGGGTTTGTGTGTGTGGTTTATGCATGTAAACTGACTGCAGAAGATGCTGTAGCTCACCCTCTAGGTGACTGTGATCGTAAAACGCGTTCCTGTTTGCCTCAAGTTGACATGAGACACTGAGACCATAGCCCTGCCGTCCTGCCTTACAGGACTGATCTGATGATAATGTATGAGGACCACTGATGATTCCCATGTGCTGTAAAACCACAGAGAGCGGGGGTCTGCTTTGAGTGTGGCCCACATGCTGTTAGCAATTGCCCAGCAGCAAGTTACTGGCACTGGCCTTCACTACTCTCTTGTCCTTTTCCTACTGTGAATCATGCTGGTTTCTAGAATCCTGGAATACATGTTAGCAATGAATTTTCTTATTTTCTTCTCCCTTCCTCCGCCCAGTAGGGATGACTGCTGGACAAAGGTCAAAGAATGTTGGTTTTACATGATGGTGATCACTTCTCACTCGGTTCCTTTTTTTGTTTCAAGATAGTAAAGAATATGGGCATACTTATCGCAGTGACCTAAAAGAAGAGATTCTGATGCTCATGGCAAGGGATCAGCACCCACCAGAGGTAGGCTTGTTTTGCTCTCATTGTTAGATATACACTAGCCAGCATATCCTCTAATACTGAGGACCTGAGGAGGGCAATTCCCATGGTTTCATTTCTGTGGAGAATTCTGCTATCTAAACCCAGATTTAAATCTACGCATCTGACTTCCCTGGCAGTCCAGTGGTTAAGACTCTGCACTTCCATAACAGGGGGCCCAAGTTAAGATATTGGATGTGTGTGGTGTGGCTGAAAACATAAAAAAGACACATCTCAACATAACCAATTAGAATACCTTTCCTTCCTTTTTCTTTCCTTTTTTATCTTTAAAGAGAAAACCCATGGTTGGATTTGAAATACGTGGCTAAACAAATTATCACATCAAGGTCGGGTGCTTTGCCTTTTTTTGTTGTTGTTAATATGTATCACTATGTGCTGTACATGCGATGTGTTCAAATGATAAAATGCAGTGTCAGAAATTATAATGGTCCTGTGGAGTCTCCTGTTCTCAAATTGACATAAAACTAGTGAGGCAGTTCTGACTCTCAAAACTAGCGAGGCAGTTCTGACTCTCGGGGCCTCTCAGCTGCAGGCGGCATTTGCTGACTGTGCTGCAGACATCAAATCGACTTACGAAAGCCAGGATGCCAGACAGACTGCCCCAGAGTGGCCGGCCAGTTCTCTGAACTACATAGCCATCCTCTTCTTAAGGGCTGGGAGAACCCAAGAAGCCTGGTGAGTACACGAAACACCACACGTGTCACTGGAAGCATCTCTAATATGTCTGTGTGATGTGTGGTTTCTCAGGAGACAATTGAGTTTCTACATAATGAGGTGTTTTTTGGTTTTGTTTTTTTAAATTTTGGCTATGCTGGGTCTTCATTGCTGCACCGCTTTTCTCCAGTTGCAGAAAATGGGGCTCCTCGTGGTGCACAGACTTCTCACTGCAGTGGCTTCTTGTCGCGGAGTGTGGGCTCTCGGGCTTCAGTAGTTGTGGCTCCTGGGCTCTAGAGCACAAGTTCAGTAGTTGTGATGCACGGCATGTGGAATCTTCCCAGACCAGGGATCAAACCCATGTCTCCTGCATTGGCAGGCAGATTCTTTACCACTGAGCCACCAGGGAAGCCCTGTAATCAGTTTTCTATGGGAACGTCCAAATACTTACTAAAAAGCAAACTTGGGAAAGAAGAATCAGTGTGCGTGTTTAAGAGAGGATGTGGTTCAGTGGGCTGTCTCTTTATTTTCATTTTCTGTATCTCTCTTCACCTAAATAGAACAGTGACCAGAGAATCTTAATTTTGAGAGTGTTTTGGGCATTGATATCTCATTTATGGATGGTTTCCCCACACCCACAGCCCCAGCTTAAAATGTGGGCTGTATACTGGGACTTGAGGAAAGTGGCATTTACCAGTATCAACTAAACCTAGCCTTGACTAGAACCCATCTTTGGTTTGTGCCACTGTATTCTGTGTGTTCGTGTTGGCACTTTGTTATACTCATTTCTAGTGTTTAATTGTGAATGGAGATCTTATGCATATTCATTTTTCCAAAAGCAGAGAAGTCAACAAAGGCATACTTGGTTGGGGTGGTCATAGTTGCATGGTTCCACTATGTGTTATTTTGGATGTAAATGTTAGTTCTGAGGGCCAGTGAGGGGGTAGTTGTGTATGGTTGTTCCCAAGAGAGGACCTTATTTTGAACATATGACTGTCAGTCCAAGGTGTGGGTGTTCACTCTCTCTAGGAAAAGCTGGTGGAGGCTTTGCTGCCTCAACTGGTCGTGACTGGTGGTGAATCACATCCTGCTGCACAGTGCTGACCTGTGATGCTCGGAGTCGTTGACTCGGGCAGGTTGACACACGTTCTTGTTGTGAATCAGGCTGTGATGATTGGCGCAGGGGTACGGACCTCAGCTGATGATGGGAGCTGAGTGTATGTGCTTCTCCTTCATCCTGCATGTGGCAGGATGCTGGTGAGCACTTACATGAGACTTGTGCCTTAATCTGAGCCTGCTCTTCATAACATCAGTTTAAGACACACTGGACTCAAACACTGGATCATGAAAGACAGAAGAGATTGTACATTATTTGCCAGCCTCCTTTCCCACTGCCCACGTGATACATTCCCTCCTTGGGGGTACTGAAGTGATCCTCTAGAGGAGGGTGAACCCCAGCAATTCTCAACGCTCATAACAAAACACATTTGCCTGGGCAGTGTGTAATGTACACACATGAAGTTGGAGAAGAGGGTTGAGGCACCTGGAGTGATTCTCATGTAGAGATGGAGCTGGGAGCTGGTAGAGCCTACAGACATACGTCTTTAGGAGCTTCCGCTGTAGGTGGGAGGACGACATTTAGTGTCTGCATCTGGGAGAATAGCTCTGGTTACTTGATTTCCATCTGTTCTGTTACTATTCCTAATCTCTTTCCTATCTCATCTTGAACAGGAAAATGCTGGGGCTTTTCAGGAAACATAATAAGATCCCCAGGTAAGTTCAAGTTAACCGGCCTGCCTGCATACATCCTAGATTAGTCATGTGGGTTTCACTCTTACGGGGTGGGGGGCGGTGTGGAATTTTCTCATGTACCTCAGGGGTAGCAGTTGGGCACTTTTCTGTTAGGCAAGCAAATGGACAGTCACTCCCACCATCTAAGGCATCCTGAGGCAAGTGCAGTTTTCTTAGTCTGTGCTCAGTGATCACAACATGGTGTTAATACACTGTGGATAGATCCACATGAAGGCATGCTGAATCATGTTGAAGATGGTAAATTTGATGCTGAAGATGTTGAGGATGAAGGCATGTTGAATTAACAGTATTCATTATCTCATTAGCCCTTTAAACTTCATGTAACTCTCTCCAAAGCTACTGATCTTTGTAAGATACTAGATTCTGTATGTAAATCTGTGAGGGGTGTAGTTGGCAGATGTTGACATTTTGCCTTTTACAGGAATGAGTTGCTGAATGAGTTTATGGATAGTGCCAAAGCATCCAGCAGCCCTGCCCAGGCCATTGAGGTCGTTAACCTGGCAAATTCCTTCAGCTTGCCTATTTGTGAGGGTCTCACCCAGAGGTTAATTGCTGACTTCAGCCTCAGCCAAGAACAGAAGTAAGTGGGCTCTTGGGCTCTGTGTCATCACCATGAAGAAAAGTTAAAGATGGAGCAGTCCATCTATCTGCCCATTCACATGTCTGTAGCTTTCTATCCCTGAATTCCTTTTCTTTGCAGAAAGTCAGGATGTGTTGGTTTAATGATCTTTTTTGTCATATGAGTCAGGGAGGCCTATATGTTGACTTAATGGATCTTGTCCTCTGTTGCTATAGTGGAGCTGTAGAGACCCCCCAGCCCCCAAGCCTGCATTTCAGTGTGACCCTCCTGTTTATGTTTCTTACAGGGAAGCCCTGGGAGACCTAACCACAATGACCAGTGACAGCGACAGTGACAGTGATAGCAATATCAGCGAAGGCAAATAAGAAGTGGGTGAATCAGGAGCAGCTGTGACCAAGCACAGCTGTGATTACACTGGATACCTGAGATGTTGGTATCTGAAGAAAACAGGGTACAGATTTGGTGAACCTTGAAATACAGTTGATACATACTGGCTTATTTAGGTTAGATTCCTAGGCTAAGCCTCCGTGTGAGGGTTACCACGTGAACAGAAGCGCCCCTGTCCTCATTTCTTTGGACACATGGTGAGGGATGCGGCTCATCTGAGCTCCGCACACCTGCAGCCCATTTGCCCTGCCTTGTTGTGGGCCGTACCCTTTGTTGGCTGATGCTGTGGCAGTGGCACTTCCTCAAATTCAGAGAAAGGGTCTAAAGGAAGTGTTTGTGCAGTTTCATCACATTGATACTGGGTCAGTAGTATCCCAAGTTCAGGGATGTTTGTATGTGGAACATGGTGCATCTGAGAACTGAACAATTATAGGACTTTAGGCTGCACAGCTGGGAAAATGAAGGCTGTGAATAAATATTGTAACTAAGGTATGTATGTGTGTGTTTGCCTTCTTTCTGTATACCCCAGTCTCACAGTGGGCTTGGGGCTTACACAAGTGTGTCCTCTCTCCCTTTCTCTCTGAGTGCTGGCACCTTCCTCAGGTGTGCTGTACTTCCAGTGATCTGAATGAGGGCTTCTGATGAGAGGACTGAAGTGTTTCCTTGACATGATTGCCTGTTGCTGGTAATCATATCATCATGTAAGTGTACCTGGTCATGAGGTAAAGGTGTTTTACTGCTGATAATAGGACCAGCTATAAGATAGCAGTCATTAGTGTGGACAGGTAAGGCAAGGTTTACAGAAACATTTAGATCTTAGTGGTGGAGTGGCAGTATACCAGAAATGGGCTTATTTCTTTGAGATAAGGCAGTGTGCTAGGGCATGGGATGCTGAAATGAAAGGTACACAAAGGGGCAGAGGGTGGGAGGTGGTGGAGGAGTCTCCAGCTTGGCCCAGGAAAGAGACTAACCTGTAAAAGAATGTTATCTAGCTGATCTGCACAACCATGGGCTTAAAGATTTTAGAAAGAAGGTCAAACCCAAGAACAGTTAGAGCTCAGAAAGACTTGAGGGACTTCCCTGGTGGTAGAGTGAATAAGAATCCACCTGCCAATGCAGAGGACATGGGTTTGATCCCTGGTCCAGGAAGATTCCACATGCGGCTGAGCAGCTAAGCCTGTGCACCACATATTGAGCCTGTGAGCTGGAGCTAGAGAGTAGCCGCTGCTCTCCACAACTAGAGAAAACCCTCCAGCAGCAACGAAGAACAAGCACACCCCAAAATTAACCCCAACCCAGGCCAAAAAAGCCTCTTGGATTCCCAAACCAAAGGACACTGGATGCCATGCAGACTTAACGATCATTTCAGTTGCCCAGTCGTGTTCAACTCTGCAGCATGCCATGGACTGCAGCACACCAGGTTTCCCTGTCCATCACCAACTTCCGGAGCCCACTCGAACTCCTGTCCATTGCATCAGTGATGCCATCCAACATTTCATCCTCTGTCCCCTTCTGCCTTCAACCTTTCCCAGTATCAGGGTCTTTTCCAGTGAGTCAGGTCTTTGCATCAGGTGGCCAAAGTCTTGGGAGTTTCAGCTTCAGCATCAGTCCTTCCAGTGAATATTCAGGACTGATGTCCTTTAGGATGGACTGGTTGGATCTCCTTGAGTCCAAGCGACTCTCGAGTCTTCTCCAACACCACAGTTCAAAAGCATCAATTCTTCGGTGCTCAGCTTGCTTTATAGTCCAACTCTCACATCCATACATGACCACTGGAAAAACCATAGCCTTGACTAGGCTGAGATCTTTGTTGGCAAAGGAATGTCTCTGCTTTTTAATATGCTGAGTTGGTCATAGCTTTTCTTCCAAGGAGTAAGCATCTTAATTTCATGGCTGCAGTCATCATCTGCAGTGATTTTGGAGCCCACCAAAATAGAGTCTGTCACTTTCCCTTATTTCCCCATCTATTTGCCATGAAGTGATGGGACCAGATGCCATGATCTTAGTTTTCTGAATGTTGAGCTTTAAGCCAACTTTTTCACTCTCCCCTTTCATAAAAAGGCTCTTTAGTTCTTCACTTTCTTCCATAAGGATGGTGTCACCTGCATATCTGAGGTTATTGATATTTCTCCTGGCAATCTTCCAGTTTGTGTTCACCAGCCCAGCATTTTGCATGATGTACTCTGCATGTAAGTTAAATAAGCAGGGTGACAATATAGCCTTAACATACTCCTTTTCTCAATTTAGAACCAGTCTGTTACTCCATGTCCAGTTTTAACTGTTGCTTCTTGACCTGCATACAGATTTCTCAGAAGACAGGTAAGGTGGTCTGTATTCCCATCTCTTAAGAAGTTTCCACAGTTTGTTCTAATTCACACCATCAAAGGCTTTGGCATAGTCAACAAAGCAAATTCAGTTCAGTTGCTCAGTCATGTCCAACTCTTGGCAACTCCATGGACTGCAGCACACCAGGCCTCCCTGTCCATCACCAACTCCCAGAGTTTACCCAAACTCACGTCCACTGAATCAGAAATACCATCCAACCATCTCATCCTCTGTCGTCCCCTTCTACCTTCAATCTTTCCCAGCATCAGAGTCTTTTCAGATGAGTCAGCTCTTTGCATCAGGTGGGCAAAGTGTTGGGGTTTCAGCTTCAACATCAGTCCTTCCAATGAACATTCAGGACTGATTTCCTTTAGGAAGTATTAGTTGGATCTCCTCGCAGTTCAAGGGAATCTCAAGAGTCTTCAACACCACAGTTCTTCGGCACTCAGCTTTCTTCACCATCCAACTCTCACATCCATACATGACCACTGGAAAAACCACAGCCTTGACTGGACGGACCTTTGTTGGCAAAGTAATGTGTCTGCTTTTTAATATGCTGTCTAGGTTGGTCATAACTTTCCTGCCAAGGAGTAAGCATCTTTTAATTTCATAGCTGCAGTCACCATCTGCAGTAATTTTGGAGCCCCCAAAAATAAAGTGTGCCATTGTTTCCACTGTTTACCCATCTGTTTGCCATGAAGTGATGGGTCCACATGCCATGATCTTAGTTTTCTGAATATTGAGCATTAAACCAACTTTTTCACTCTCCTCTTTCATAAAAAGGCTTTTTAGTTCTTTACTTTCTGCCATAAGGGTCGTGTCATCTGCATATCCGAGGTTATTGATATTTCTCCCGGCAATCTTGAATCCAGCTTGTGCTTCATCCAGCCCAGAGTTTCTCATGATGTACCCTGCATATAAGTTAAATAAATGAAGCAAAAGTAGATGTTTTTCTGGAACTGTCTTGCTTTTTCAAAAATCCAGCAGATGTTGGCAATTTGATTCCTCTGCCTTTTCTAAATCCAGCTTGAACATCTGGAAGTTCACATACTATTGAAGCCTGGCTTGGGGAATTTTGATCTTTACTTTGCTAGCATGTGAGATGAGTGCAACTGTGAACATTCTTTGGCATTGCCTTTGGGATTGGAATGAAAACTGACCTTTTCTTGTGGCCACTGCTGAGTTTTCCAAATTTGCTGGCATATGGAGTGCAGCACTTTCACAGCAGCATCTTTTAGGATTTGAAATAGCTCAACTGGAATTCCAACACCTCCACTAGCTTTGTTCATAGTGATGCTTCCTAAGGCCCACTTGACTTCGCATTCCAGAATGTCTGGCTCTAGGTGAGTGATCAGACCATCGTGGTTATCTGGGTCCTAAAGATCTTTTTTGTATAGTTCTTCTCTGTATTCTTGCCTCCTCTTTTTAATATCTTCTGCTTCTGATAGGTCCATACCATTTCTGTCCTTTATTGTGCTCATCTTTGCATGAGATGTTCCCTTGGTATCTCTGATTTTCTTGAAGAGATGTCTAGTCTTTTCCATTATATTGTTTTCCTCTATTTCTTTGCACTGATCACTGAGGAAGGCTTTCTTATTTCTCCTTGCTATTCTTTGGAATTCTGCATTCAAATAGGTATATCTTTCCTTTTCTCCTTTGCCTTTCACTTCTCTCTTTTCTTAGCTATTTGTAAGGCCTCATCAAATGACCATTTTGCCTTTTCGCATTTTTCTTGGGGACGGTCTTGATCACTGCCTTCTGTACAATGTCACGAACCTCTGCCCATAGTTCTTCACACATTCTATCTGATCTAATCCCTTGAATCTATTTGTCACTTCCACTGGATAATCAGAAGGGATTTGATTAAGGTCATACCTGAATGGTCTAGTGGTTTTCCCTACTTTCTTCAATTTAAGTCTGAATTTGGCAATAAGGAGGAGTTCATCATCTGAGCCACAGTCAGTTTCCTGGTCTTGTTTTTACTGACTGTATAGAGCTTCTCCATCGTTGGCTGCAAAGAATATAATCAATCTGATTTTGGTATTGACCATCTAGTAATGTCCATGTGTAAAGTCTTCTCTTGTGTTGTTGGAAGAGGGTGTTTGCTATGACCAGTGCGTTCTCTTGGCAAAACTGTTAGCCTTTGACCTGCTTCATTTTGTACCCCAAGGCCAAATCTGCCTGTTACTCCAGGTATTTCTTGACTTCTTACTTTTGCATTCCAGTTCCTATAATGAAGAGGACATCTTTTTTGGGTGTTAGTTCTAGAAGGTCTTGTAGGTCTTCGTAGAACCATTCAACTTCAACTTCTTCAGCATTACTGGTCGGGGCACAGACTTGGATTACTGTGATATTGAATGGTTTGCCTTGGAAACGAACAGAGATCATTCTGTTATTTTTGAGACTGCATCCAAGTACTGCATGTTGGACTCTTATTGACTATGAGGTGTACTCCATTTCTTCTTGCCCACAGTAGTAGATATAATGGTCATCTGAGTTAAATTCACCCATTCCATTCCATTTTAGTTCACTGATTCCTAAAATGTTGATGTTCACTCTTGCCATCTCCTGTTTGACTACTTCCAATTTGCCTTGATTCATGGACCGAACATTCCAGGTTCCTATGCAATATTGCTCTTTACAACATTGGACT